GGAGCTCGACGGCCGCGCAGAGAGGCAGGTCGCTTTCGCCTGCGTGCCAACCAACAGCGTGGGAGAGAAACACCACAATAAAGCGGAATTCGATAGGGCAAACGTGTGGAATTTTCTTTCCAAAGGATTACCGCTTCAACACGAGTATTAAGCGGGATAACTTACCCACCGCGCCTTTCATGAAACCGAGTTGTAACGACCATGCTCTTCCAGCCGTGAGGCAAGCCGTTTGTAAGGGGGCACTCGTATGGGAAATGGGCGCTTTTGCTTAGCAGGGCTAGTATGAGTATAATGTAGACAAGTATAATGTAAGATAGTGTGTCGATGTCTAAAGTAAGGTAGGGGTGAAAGGTAGAATAAGGTATATTGAGAATAATGTATAATGTAGTATGTTGTAGCTAAAACGTACAACGTAACATTGCCATCAGAAATTGCAGTTTTGTTGTACTTTTCGCATATTTAAATACCCCCACACACACATACACACAAATAAACTGACGAGTATTCAAAAATAACCAATTGTTTTTAAAATGAAAACATTTTGTTATAAAAAGTAAAACAACTGCATTTTTATTGAGATGTATAGATGTATAGACTAATTTTGTAGTGAGCAAACGTGGTCACATCCATTGTCGTATACATTTAGTGGTTTCAAGCAGCTTGCTTCATAGTTACAGTTTATAGAACCGCGTAAAATACTTTAAATTAAAGAATATATAAAATAATGGTTGAAGAAAGTATTTGAAATATTACTTAGACGAGTATTACATTCCATATAATTATTGATATTTTACATAACGAACTTCATTCGTCAGTTTGAAGTTTGTTGTGGTATCATTTGAGACGATGTTGTCGCGTCATGTATCCGCAGAAAAAAAAATCAAGTTAAAGCAAGTATTATTATTATTATTATTATTATTATTATTATTATTATTATTATTATTATTATTATTATTTATTGAGTGCTGCACCAGTGAAATTATACGCAAAAATTTGTCAAATCCTACAAGCCTGACCTCAAATTTCCTAACAGAAATATTTACTTGTCTAACTTCCTCAAGGTCATGTGTTTTACGTAAGTAACTTCAGCAATACACGATTTATCCTAGCTGAAGAGGAACTAGTGGAAAGAATTCAGATCAGGGACTGTTAATTTTCACGACAAACAAATGGTTACTATGTTAACTACTTCACCTCCTGGTACTAAAGGCGGAACGTAAATAACTTAGGAAAAGAACCTTCCTGTGCACACTGCAGCGTGTAACCCTTGTCAGAGATGCAAACACTTGCATGTCCTTGGCAACGGCCAATGCGTAAACCATCCGCTCTCGGGAAAAATAAATAGTTTGGAATGCATCAGTCCTCATTGCACTGTTTTATATGGCATCATATCCGTATCGCAAGGCAGCATCCCTCGCTTTGTATCAAAATCCACATTGCATCGTATCGCTCCATACGTATCTAAATCGCTTTGGCTCATGCACATATTACTTACAATCGTCTCATACACTAACTAGCTACAATCACCTCATGCACATATCCCGCCTCAAATTCATACCTAATCACATAACCAAATATAATCGCCTCATATGCAAAAGTAATAGTAATAGCAAATGTGATACAAACATCTATTTCCCTCATATTCAAATCGCATTCCACCGCACTACAGAACACTAGGACCTCCTAACGTTAGATCGTAGATTCTTTCCATCGTGCCATAACACATCGCATCGCATCACATCTCAGAATGCATAGACTCGTAGCACAGACCAACACATCGTCAACTATTTTATTAAAACACGTCATCCTGCACAAGAGCCGTGCATCCTACCCGACATCGCGTTGGGCGACGCGAGTCAATAAGGGCCCCACACGACTCCAAGCCTCAAGGTCACTCCCGGTGGCGCCGCAGCCCACCATCCGGTACACACCCCAGGCGCAAACAACAGCTCGAAACTGCGGGGGCGGCCGCAATGGAAGGGGGAGGAGGAAAGAGGGAGGAGGAAAGAGGGAGGAGGAAAGAGGGAGGAGGAAAGAGGGAGGAGGAAAGAGGGAGGAGGAAGAGGGAGGAGGAGAAGAGGGAGGAGGAAAGAAGGGAGAGGAAAGAGGGAGGAGGAAAGAGGGAGGAAGGAAGAAGGGAGGGAGGGAAAGAGGGAGGAAGGGAAAGAGGGAGGGAGGAAAAGAGGAGGAGGAAAGGGAAGGAGGAAAGAGCGGAGGAGGAAAGAGGAGGACGGCCGGGAGGAAGAAGTGGTGTGGTGTGTGGTGGTGGTGGTGGTGGTGTGGGGTGGGTGGTGGTGGTGGTGGTGGTGGTGGTGGTGGTGTGGTGTGGTGGTGGTGTGGTGATTCGCTCATTCTGGTGGAGAGTTCTGCGCGCGTTGGGAAGAGAGAAGAAGATGTGAGATGGGATAGAGACGCTCGTGGTACGCGCTCACGCTACGTATGCGCTTAGTGGTAGTGGTAGTGGTAGTGGTAGTGGTAGTGGTAGTGGTAGTGGTAGTGGTGGTGGTGGTGGAGTTGGTGGTAGCGCAGCCAGCGGAAAGCTAGCAGAGGTAAGAGATGAGTTTGAGGGAGAGGCGGATGATTTGGAGAATATAGGGCTGTGGTCAAGGGAAATTGAAAAATGAAGTGATGGTGAAAGAAAATGAGGTACACGGAGAAATGGGAAGTGACAATAAAGGGGAAGGCAAATGAAGAGAAGGTGTGTGGAAGTGGATACAAAGATGAAACAGAGGAGGCGCGGTTCGTGCATGAAATTAGGTGTTAATAGAAATGAAAGTAAAGAACGCAGAGATAAAAAGTGGGGAAACCTGGAAAGGAGATGTCGATGGGGAAAAGTTTAAGAAGGCTGAGGCAGAAGCAGTACACATTGTGTATGTGGATGGAAGTGGCGGCGTTGGAAAGTAAAATAGGCAAACATAAGAGTTAAAACGTACGTAAGAAAGGGGGTAACAACAAAACGATGAAAGGCAATGGGAGAATCGAGAAGGTGATAAAAGTAATATACGACGAAGGAAGAGATCTATGAATAGAAGTTGAGTTCCCGATGAAAACTATAAAGACAATGCAAATACAATACTACAATGAAGTTGGAGTGGATTGGACAGAAAAAGTTTAAGCGATACTGACAAAAGATACGTATCGAATAGCAGTACTCTAAAAATAAGTAAATTAACTGAGCATCTCTGGATGAACACAACGGCAAATGCCTTCTCAGCGAAATCTGCGTCGCCCCTGCTTCTTCCCTGCGGGGGCAGCACAACTGCTGCACACGAAGCAGAATTTGCCTCCGAGCGCAACGTGAGGTAGGCGAAGTGGCATCGGCAAGCTCCACAGTCTACGCATAGCAGAAATGCAGGATTTCTTCTTTTTGGATACCAACATCTTTATTTTGGCGCTTTTTGCTCCAACCAGTTTATCATTTATGATCTGTTTTTATATTTAAAAAATTGTCAGATATCATCCGGTGGCCGAGATCGCTAAGGCAGTGGTGCCGTAGCGATCTCGGGCCGAAGGATCGCGGGTTCGTGTCCCGCCTCGGGCATGGTTGTATTGTGTTCGTTCTTTCAGCCTCATATCATATTGTATCATCTTCCCAGTTACCTTACCGTAACAAGCAATAGTGGTCGCTAATGACCCAGAAGTTGATGCGACCTTAAATAACAAAAATAAATTGTCACAGGGCTGTATGTAGAGGTACAAAAAAAAATATTGCATTTCCATGCTGTAATAGAATTGATTTTCTATAATACTGACCCCATTTTGATTGTTTGCATATATATTCGCAGTATAGTCCACTCTTACATGCTACGCATCGAACGGATGTGTGTATGTGCGCGCGCGGATACATGTACATGAGCGTACGAGGTGATCTATACCAAAGATCATGCAATTACCTTCGCGCTTTGAACCATCATCGCCACAAAACTCTCGTTTCTCTCCTCTTAATTAACAAACTTTCACTTTACTCCGTTTTCCCCCCACACACTTATTTACATAAATTAAAAAGCTCACCTCCAGATCGCTGCTACACCCAACGCCAACCAAAGAACGCGAGGCCACGCATTCAGTGACCATGGCAAAGCGCACAATCCGGAGCCGAGGTCGATGCGAGGATTCGGTGGCGCCTCAAAAGCAAAGAGCAAACAAAGGGCGCCGCCAAGTTCATCCGCCAGGTGGCTCAAAGGGAGCGGAGGGGCGTGCGACCAGCCGCGAGCGAAATGAAAGCTCATAATCCGACTGACAGCTCCGAGCGCTACAAAGCCGCCGCACGACTTTTGCAGTTTAACTCGAGCCTTTGCCCTGCTCTTGTTGATACAGAATGTTGAGGTGAAATCGCAACCAATTCAGTCCATGAATTTCAATACGGTGATGAAATTCCTACACGAAAACGAATTATCCTAATGAAATTACCCTCGTGGTATTATCATTTATGTGAAATCCCTTCAAAATGTAATTGTGCCTCACAAAATAATAAATATACTAGATCTTATTCGTTAGATTACTCTGCATTATTTGTATTTAGAGATTATTTTATCTTTCTAGGTTACCCAATAAAAATATCATATTAAACAATGGTGTAGTGTATTGGATCAGGAAAATCGATGTGAGCTATTGCGACATGAGTTATTGTTAACAGTCTTTCTTCTCTCTTCTATTTTTCGGCGCCATCACAGCTATAGGGTGTGATGCAGTGCCAGAAAGTGCACATTACTGAATTACGAGTCCCAAAGCACAAAAAAGCTTCATTTTCATCAAAATTAATATTTTCGATTACCAACATATTACACCAAACTTCAAGTTACGCGAAGAATGTACGATGTTGTTGTTTGTTTTGTTGTTGTTTTCAGAATAATTCAGGCTTTCTGAAGTCAATGGCCCGCGGAGCGGATTTGTTCATAAATATATTTTAATATTTGTTTCCGAATTTCCACTAATGTTTCTGGATTGTTTTTGAATGTTTCAAAAACCTCACAACGTAACTATACAGCGTGACGTACTGGCGTTCTCTGCCAGAGAGCACGATTGTATTTGCTTCTTTTTACACCACTTTCTGCCACTTCGGTAAAAAAAATTGTTAAGAAAAGTTGCTGCTAGCTGCATGCTGTATTTCCAATTCAAATCGCTTTATTTCCATTTTATGTTCGTATGTTGAGATAAAAGTATGTGTTGATAATCAGTACGGAAAGAAAATGGGATGTGTCTGAGGATACTGCAAACAAAAATCTTTCAAGAGGAGAGACCGTGCCACAGGGAAATGCGTGGCACTACTCCCAGGAGACAACTGTCCAAACTCTGCCCAGTTTGTAAACAGCTTCACTGTACAATCCCTTGGGTTAATGTGTGAAGATTGCAGGAATGTCAATAGATTTACTTCTTTATGTTTGAAGAAAGACTGCACAAAGGTGTCAGTTAGTTTTTCTGACGTAAAGTACTTTATGACGGTAAAATTGAATATGAATAAAATAGTTATTTTAGACACACATTAAAAAGCGGTACTTTTAGGGAATGCAGTGCGTGATAAAATTTAATTTTTATCACTTAAATAAAACGATGCTCAAATGTTCAGACAAAATTCATAAAGCAACAAAGGAAACAAAACAGTTTCGATTCAGGTACTACTGATCTTAATTGGTACCCAATTATATTACATTAATACTTGAATTGAAAAAGGAAAGTCAGTATGACCATCTAAAAAGTACTTTATAACACACATGGTCAAAGTAATTTTATTTTTCTCAAGTAATTTCACCACTCGATCTATATACCTTGTGTCATAACCACCCGTACACGCAAAAATAAAACCACTCTTATCAAAAATATATATTTTGTACTCCGATTAAAACTGTTTACATTCGTGTTTATTATTTCGTGCTGTTATTAGCAGTTGCATACCAGAGCAGGGGGTGAAAGACTTCACCTTCGTTTGTATCCTCTATCTTTGTTTAGTTAAAAAGTTACTGTTTCATCTTTTAGGACTTTTATTATTAGAAGCCTTTGTACACCCTTAGTGATAGTTTCGTCTTTCGCCGTTTTTCGGATGTTTAACAAAAACTCGTAACTGTAGTCATGCGCAATTCCGACGTGGAAACTCTTGCGTTCTCTTGCAGCCAGGTTTGCATGTAATCACGTTAAGATATTATTGCATCTGTCAATGTTGAGAGCAGCTGTGCAATTGAAGCGACATAATAAATGTTAAACTAATTCTTCACAACAAATACACAAGTGCGCCGCCATCTGTGTTCTTTCTAAAGGACCACAAATGTATCATACCGTATCATAGCCTTTACCGAACCTCAAAATATTGGAAATATTTAAAACAAGCATGCCTGAAATTATTTGATAGTATTGGTAAATATATGAGTTATTAGTTCTTAAATATAAAGGAATATCCTTCAGTTAAATAGAAATGTATTCTGAGATCTGGCGTTTACCCCCCATTAGTGTTCTTAGAGTACTGCATTAACATTGATAAGCGGGACTGTTAAAGCTTTGAGTTCGCCAAAAATACGGAGTATTGTCTGCAAGAAAAAATGTCTCTCTGCAGTTGCTCGTACGTCACTTGCATTTCACTAGACTAGAGTCGATTGCGTCTGATCTCCTTCCGTCATCCTCCGGCCTTAACCGAGCAGCGAGCAACACCTATGACAGATCCACATGAGTAGCCCTGATTTATGCAACACTTCATTATATAACCCCTTAAGAGCCAAGAGTAAACAGGGAATACACGTCCACTTTACTTCTTTCCAGGAAGCTTAGACATTCGCTCTTCGGCTACACCACACAACTCTCGGAGGCTTCCATCAACACGAGGCTCATTGTCGACAACTGAACTGCCCCGCTCGCCGCCCGGCGACTGCCGCGCTCTCTGGCGGGGACTTCCGTCAGCTGCCGCTTCGCACGCGTCGCGTCATCGGAAACAGACGGAGCGCGCATCCCGTCGAGCCGTGTTTGTCGAAAAGGGTTCCGTGTCGCTTGGAAATACAACGGAGACGCGGTAGTACTGGGCATACAGCCTCGTTTTGCTGTTACTAGACAGCAGTGTCACTCGGGAGCAGTATTTTCAGCTTTGAGTAAAGGTGGTCCAAGCATGATAAAGGGTTTTGAAGGTAGATGCTGAAGTCAGTAGGTATTAACAGTAAATTCCAAACCCCTCCGTCTAAACAGGACTTTGCCACCAAATCCCAACATCACTACCTTGTGGTGGCTATAACTGGTACCGTTAAAGTAGTTCTGGTGTAAGGAGAAACAAGACCCTAATATGTAAACCTCTACAGGAAATGTCTTTCTTCCAGGAAAGGAGATTCAGTTTGTGCCGAAATTCTCTCTCTATAAACCATAATTAACAACTACCTCTTCTCTACATTGTAATTTCGTTCCTCCCTCGAAAACATCCCTTCATACTCACAATCACCTTGCTTTCGTAATTTCTCTCTCCCCGTCTTTTCCTTACTTTGTTGATACTAGATTCTTGAACTTTCTTGTATTCCTGATAGTGTGTTTCAATCTACACTATTTACATTGTCTAGTTTTTATTTTCCTGTTAAATGCCTATCCTGCCATTCTCTCATTCGATTTAAAATCTCTCAATTTTCTCTACTTTTTTCTTATCCCCATGTGCATTCTCATAATGTCGTTACAAGGAGGAAAATTCACTTTGGGATTATCGCATTGAACCAACACGTCTATGCGAGCGTTTCCAACTTTCAAAGTGTTTGACTAAGCTAGGATATGAACTCCAGAACGCAGCGAGACCAACGCGCAAACCTTTACTGAAAGTACAAACTCCCGAGGATCATTTAGGCACAAATAAAGAAGAGTTTATTTGAAGAATCGCAAATGAAGGATCTTATGAGGGATCATAACTTTGAGGAAGTTAGACTAGTATGGAAAAGGTGGCTTTGACGTCAAAAGATCGTAACGTAATTTCTAGGTAACAGAAAAGCTGAGACCTATGAAGAAATAGTGTCTGAACTTCACTATTATAAACTTCTGGGATGTAATATGTTTATTAATATACATTTTGTGTATTCATACTTAGACTTCTTTACTGAAAATCTCGGTGCTCTGAGCGTCAAACATGGTGGGTGATTCCAACAAGACTATGGAAAAATTTTATAAGGGAAAATTGAATCAAAATATGCTTGCACACTATTGCTGAGCACTAAAAAGGATATGTTCCAAAGAAATACAGTAAACAATCGTTCAACATTATATTTTAATTGAGATCGTGATGTAATTAAAGTAAAAGAAACCATTAACTTACAAAAATGTCTATTAAGCACTTGTTAATTGTCTATTACAACATACCTAGCCGGTTACAAATAAACACTTCAC